AAAGGCTAAGTCGCCCCGGGTACCCACGTCTCCAATAAAGCCTCTTGTTTTTTGCATCCAGTTCGTGGCCTCGCTGATTCCTGGGTGTGTGGGTCTCCCTCTACGAAAGTGCCTCTTCGGGGGTCTTTCAAGATAAGTGTTTGGACACCAGGGGTTTGTTATCTTCTTTACCTCAGAAAATGTCCTGTTTGGATGCTGTGCAGTCTTAAGCAGTCCGGAACTGTAGTGAGATGTCCAGTGAGACCCTCCTTCTACTGTGTGTGTCATCTCTGTCAGCCCCCACCTCCCTGGCACCTCCCCTCCCCTCCCACACAAGCATGTTCTGACATTGCAAACTTGGCCAGACCTGATGAGTTGCAAAAAGAAAAGTTAAAAGCCCCAAATCAGCCCAGTGAATCTTCTGTTGTAGCACTTCCCCATCTACCCACATGAATCAGCATCTTTAGTGCCACTTTTATGGATGAGGCCAGGGCAGCGGCCACCCACAGCCGTCCAACAATGACTTTTCAGTATCTCTCTGAGTCTATGTGCTCACTCTGTCCCCGTTACTTGCTGTCTACACACAATGGACTACCAAACATCATCTTTGTCCGTGTATCTCACTGAGAGCACATGACTGTGATGACTGAGATATCAGGCCTGTCTGGACTACATACAATAGCTAATGCCTTCCTTCTAAGTAATCCTGGGAATCATCTGTAAGCCTCCACCACTTTGATGTTCTGTGGATGACCCAGGTCAGGGTGAGACAGAAGAGGACAGGTACACTTCATCCCTCTTACAGTTGTCAGCAACTCTGAGCCCAGAAATTCAGACAAAGAATACTCAAAACAGTATCTTCCTGCATGGAGAACCCTGGTGACATCCCACGGCCTGGTAAGGGGTCGCAGGTGATGTGAGTTCAGTTCATCTGACTGGGAGACTCAGGAAGAGGTCAACAAAGTCTTCACTATCACATTGCAGAGGCCCATGAGGAGGTTAAGGGGTTCACACTAGGAGAGTGTAAGTGCTATACACACACACCTGGGGCAGGAAGCCATTCTGGCTGAACTTCAGATAAGAGCCCCAGAGTTGCTGATAGCCCTGGAGCACAAATGCCCTTTGCTCTGTAATCCAACCTGCCCTTGTTCCAGGTTAGGTGAAGGGAGCCCAGGGACCACTAAGTTCAACTGAGGAATGAGGGGCACCAGGAACTCCTGTATGCCTAATAACTCTGTACCTTTTGAAGCCTGCCAGACCACTGTTCTCTCCTATGGGGTGACAAACTAAGAGACACATCACAGCATGAATGTACTATGTTATTATTATCCAAATATCCAGAAGCAGCTACAGCTACAAAAGTACTGAGGGAAAAGATCCATCTGCTCCTCTATCCCCTGAACTGCAGGTCCAGCAGAGCACCTCCTCCTGTATCAGTGATGCTTTGCTTGAGAGAAGACTGCTCTGTAGGTTTTCGTGGGGGAATTTGGAGTCAGTTCTCTCTTTCCACAATGTGGGTTCCAGGGTTGAACTCTGGTCACCAGGGTGGAGGCGGGCACCTTTACCTGCTGAGTCATTTCATGGGACCTGGTAGGGAATTTGGAGATACATGTTTCCTACAATGTCTTCTGATGTGCCTATGAGTTACTCCCTCTCCGAAGTCTCAGGATCTGACTCTGCACAACTTGTCAGGTTTAACTAAGGTATCCTATGTTCCCCTGAAGAGTCTTGTTCAGTAAATCCTGCAGCAAAGGAGATCAGGATTGTAGGAGCTGGAGGGGTCAAGGACATCACAAGTAAATCCACACAATCAAGTAGCCTGGTTTCACAGGAGGCCATAGAGACTGAACCAACATCAGGGAGCCAGCATGGGACATACCTAGGCCTTCTGCACATATGTGACAATTGTGAAGCTTTGTCTTCTTGTGGGACTCATAGCAGTGGGAGCATGGGCTGTCTCTCATTCTTTTTCAGACTTTTGGGACCCTAGTCCTCATACTAGATCACTTTGCCCAGCCTTACTACATGAGAGGTGCTTAGTCTTGGTGCAACTTGATATGCCATGTTTTATTGACACCCATGGGAGGCCTGCTCTTTTATGAATGGAAACACAGAAGAGGAGTGGATTGTGGGGAGAAAACGGAAGATGTACAGAAGGGATTGGGAGAAGAGGAGGGATAGGAAACTGACATCAGAATGTAAAATGAATGAATAAATAGCTAAACAGGTAATTCTTTTAATCCTAACAGTAAAAATAATAGTAAAAATAAAATGAATTTAGAAAACATAAAAGAGCCTTGTCCAGAGTGAGGAACAGGAGAAGCAGGATCCCATAGACCACAGCATTTAACCAATTAGGAGTTAGTCTGGTGAAGTGGTGAACTCCCAGACTTGAGTATGCTTGAGTCTGTGCTACAGCAGGGTACACTATGTGCAATTGACAGGAACAGAATAGAGGAACCTAGCTCAGACAGGAATTTGGATCCAATGAGAAGTAGGTGGAGTGTATACTTGAACTGGACAAGGTCATTGAACTGAACTGAGAAGGCAGGGGTTACTTGCTTCCCACAGGAGAATGTGGGAAACAAATATGCCCAAGCCAGGTCCACCATTCCTGCTTCAACTTTAGCCTCTGTGGAAGGCACAGCAGGGCTCCCAAGTTCCTTCTAGGATACCAGCAACCCTCCCTTAACCTGGAGTCACCAAGTTCACAGTCTGATCAGTAACAAGGCTCTGGTCAGGTGATAGGGTAGAGAGGAGGCTGCAGAAAGATGTAACTGGAAATACAAGGATGGCTTCTCTAGAGATGCATGCTGAGGATGTCACAGGAAAATGGGATGCAGCTCTGAGAGGGGTGACATTGATAAAAGAGAACTGC